TGCTGGGTCAAATGGCCTGTTCCTGTGCTGTGAAATGCCACTGAGTATAAGAAATATTAAATGTTGGGGTAGATAGGGAAACGTTTCATTCCCCATTGTGGGAGAGTCTAGAACAACAGTGCAAAATCTCAGAATAAGGGGTTTAAGACAAAGATAAGGAGCACTTTCTTCTCTCAGAGGGTGGTCGGTTTGTGGAATTCTTTACCACAGAGGGTTGTCAATGTTGGGTCCTTAAATATGTTCAAGGCTGAGTTAGACTTTTTTTCAACCAGGAAGGAAATCAACAGTTATGGGTAAAAGCAAGAAAGTGGAGTTCAGGATTGTCAGATTAGGCATGATCTCATTGAATGGCAAAGTAGACTTGATGGGCTGAATGACCTCCTTCTGCTCCTTCATCTCATGATCTAATACTACATAACTGAATGCAATATTTTCTTTCAAAGCGCTGCTCTGGAAACGTGGCAACGCTACCTAAGGTTGTGAGTTCCATAGCACACAGTCGTCAACGTTTTTAGGCAATCTATATGATGATAGCATAGTATTCATTGTTTGAAGTTTTCTTATGTCCCTTCAGTCCTTCAGATTTTAGGATCAAAAGAGGGTTGCATTGAATCTTAAGTTCCTGGGTTCTATGCCTTTCAGATTGAGTCAGCTGAGGGAACTATGAGCAAGAGTGTAGCAAGTAGAATTGAGAATGAAGGCAAAAATTGGATTGAGATTTGGAATGCCCTATCTTGCAACATTGTGGGAGTACTGAGACTAAAAGGACTGCAGCAGCTCAAGAAGGCAACTCACCACCATCTTCTCGAGGCCAGCTAAGGGTAGACTATAAACTCTGACTTGGCCAGTGATATCCGCACCCCTGAATGAATAATAAAAAAAATCAATTGGAAGAATACAGAGAACTTTGGTCATTGTGGAGCTGGAGGAGTTTACAGAAATTGGAAGGGATTAGGTAATTGAGCCTTTTTTGAAAAGTGGCTACCAGTTATTTTTTAAAGTTGAATACATAGACTATTTTACAGGCTCTTGTGGCACTGTGCTAATGTCCCTACATCTGGGCCAGATTGCCTTGGATTAAGTCCCACCTGACCTGGGGTGTGTCAAAACAGATCTGAACAGGTCCATTAAAAAATCTATAAATTTTAATTTCAAATCCCAAGTTTCAAATGATGTGAACACTCACTAATAAAGTACCTAAAGTCAATAATTTTGAGAGCCCAGAGAGAATTTGTCACCAATGGCTATATATGTCACAGATCAACAGAACTCTTAGAAAAATAAGATGTGAGCAGTTCCAAGCCAGTAAGACATTCCGATAATATAAATCATACATTCAGGGTTGGGTGATCTCCAACGAAATGTGGGAGATCATATGCAGTGAGAAATGGAGAAAAGAGAGAAGACGTAAGGAGAAGAATTAAACGGAAACAGAGGAGATTCAAAAAGACAGGATCAGTAGATAATGGATTGAGAAATCATAGAATCCCTACAGTGTGGAAAACAGGCCAATTGGCCCAACAAGTCCACACTGACCCTCAGAGCATCCCACCCAGACCCATCCCCCTAATATACCATGTCTAACCTACCTAACCTAAACATCCCTGGGCACGATAGCATGGCCAATCCACCTAACCTGCACACCTTTGGACTGTGGGAGGAAACTGGAGCACCCGGAGGAGACCCAGGCAGACACGGGGAGAACATGCAAACTCCACACAGACAGCCGCCCGAGGTTGGGATTGAAACTGGGTCCCTGGCGCTGTGAGGCAGCAGTGCTAACCACTGAGTCACCATGCCACCCAGAAACAAAAGAAAAGATGCTAAAGAAATAAAGAAAGAAAAAGATGCTAGAGAGAAGAAGAATGAAGAGAGAAAAAAGAACAAAAAAGACGATGAAGAGAGAAAGAGAGAAGTAAGAGAGAAAACTGCACACTGACAACATTCCCCCTCCATCTGCTAATTCCTCTGTATATCAGATATTTAAACTCTTGGATTGAGAGTGAAACAGAATTAATTCATGGTCTGTCTCCAATGTTAGCAGTACATTGGATTCTCATGTCAGAATGAATTAAACATGTTTATGATCTTGTCTCTTTCTCCTCTCTCTGTACCTTGATATAACGTGTTGACGTACCTTGACTGAATTATCACTGTGATCTTATCCCTAATCCATTATTATTTAACTCTTGAATGTTAAATCCATCACTTATTTATTCATAAGCTCTGCAGGAGAGAGGGACATAAATCGATAAAAACTTCATGCAGTGAAAATCGCTGAGCAGTATACTCTATTGCCATCTGTGTGGGACCAATTAGGAAATCTGCAATCCCTGCTGAATGTGTGGGCTGAGTCAAACAGCCTGGGGTGATGTGGTGTCAGGTTCAGGCCATCAGGTTCAGGCCAACAAGTTAAAAGAAAATCTTGCATTCAATCTTAGAGCACAGGGGTAGGCATTCAACCTCTTACAAACTAACTTTTATCATGTAAAGAGATATATGAACATGTTGTGATTCATTGAAAAAAAAGTCCGCGTGATTTCATGCTTTGACAAAAAACAAGCCTCATTACATATTTAAAAATTAATCAAAGCTTGCAGTGTTAATAGTAATAATATTATGAACTCATCGTACATTTTACTTCCCTTCTGGTCTGATGTTACAAGAATCTTGAAATTATATTCATACCTTAAAGAGCAACCCAAAGGTATGCCACAGCTGCCAATAAGTTAATTTTATTTCCCTTCATTGCTCCACCTATTCTCTGAGGTATAGAATTTCACAGGGATCCTTCCATTTGCCTTTGGGTAAGCAATCCTCCAATTTTCTTAAACAGCTTCCTGACTGTGTGTTCATCATTTCAAGCATTGGCATGACTGCCTCACTTAATACCTTGCTTAAACATGTGAAAAGCCATCCTCCCAATTCCTAAAGGCTCTCTACATTCCCATAACCTCTGTACAGCTGCTGCTTCCCTACTTGAGTCTCAATTCCTACACACATATATATACACACACATGCACGCATGCAGACACACACTTACATGCACACACATACACATGCAAGCGTACACACACACACACCCACACACACACCCACACAGACACATACACACTCAGACATGCAGACACACGTACACATGCACGCACACACAGAAACACCACACTCAAACACACACACACACACACGCACACACACACCATCTTTACGAAAATTTAACAATGTAACAGAGGTGTAAGCTTTACTATTACTTTCAACACACCTCTTTAAGTCTATGACTCACATGAATAATTTATACTGCTAATGATGTTTACAACCTTTTTCCCAGAATTTCTGTCCCTATCGAACAACTCTCTGTTAACAAACTTTCTCAAGTCTCTCCTTCCAAGAGCTACATACTTAATGTAAATCTTTCAGTGAAACAAGAGGAGATTCATTGTCTCTATGACATTTGTTGTCCATGTGTTCCTGCTGACCACTCTAACCTTATTGAATAGGTACAGACCACCATTTAAATGTAGTAAACCCAGGCATTTTCAAATTTCATTTATATTAGAGTTGTATTTTCTCAAGCAGATGCTCCCATGTATCTGCAGATAACAATTTAACTTCTAAAACTAAAAGTTATATTCTGAACGATAAGAGTGGTGAACTAGATTTTCTCAACAATCCAGGCTCTAGGTGTTCAGTCCTCATGATCCCATGGATGTATCCTTCATTAAAAGGCATCTTGTGCTTGATTGAGGGGCCCAGCAACAGGTCGGGATAGGTGCCTGTTCAGAGTTAATCCCTTCCTTTTGCGCCAACCCACACTTTCCACAGTACCCATCCCGCATCCCAAACTCACCTATTCCTGGGTTGCTCCTTGATCTGAGACTTTAGGTGGTTGTGAATCTGGCAGTAACCATGACCTTTCATCAAAGTGCCACTGTGCAGAGAGCTGCTGTCCTCTGATTAACCAATCTGCTGAGTCCTCCTCCTAGGAATTCCTCCGCCCAGCTCCTTGATCCCAGTGAAATGAGTGATGTTGTCCTTTCAAGTGACTGAGTAGCAGTTCTCTCACATACAGGGGACATAGGAGTCTAAATAAAAACTGAAAGAACTGCAGATACTGTAAATCAGGAACAAAAACAGAAATTGCTGGAAAATCTCAGCAGGTCTGGCAGCATCTGTGAAGTAAAATCTGAGTTAACATTTTGGGTCCAGTGACCCTTCCTCAGAATGTGTTCTGATGAAGGGCCACTGGACCTGAAAAGCTAACTGATTTTTTTCTTCACAGATGCTGCCTGACCTGCTGAGCTTTTCCAGCAATTTTTGTTTTTGGACACAGGAGTCTTGATGGCTCTCCAGCTGGAAGCCAAGACCCCTGCCAACAAGATTCTGTCAAACATTTCAGGTTAATGGCTTTTCATTATCACCCATTCCTTTGTTGTTACTCAAAATGCCAGTCACGTTGGATAACTTAACAAAGTATATGTTAGCTTTCAATTAAAGGTAAAAAGGACAGTGACAATGATATATTTTAGGGAGTATAGTTCTTAACATAAAATTCTATAGGAGCAGGAGTGTTCTATTCTCATCTCTTGAAGCTGATACAGCATTTAATGAGATCAAGACTGATCTTTTACCACAACTCCTCTGCCTTTAGATCTTTTCCCAATCAATCTGCCCAGAGATGTTATTATGCATTTCTTGGGCAGTTGGGACTTGAACCCAGGCCTCCTGGCTCAGAGTTAGGGACATTAGCACTTTGCCACAAGACCCCACAGCATATTCCTTCAATCCTCTAGCAAGAGTGTGAACTGTAACCTATCTTCGTGCTGTCTTTCACATTGCGCATACAGTATAGTAATAATGCTTATAATATTACTCACATCTTAGCCCTAAACCATTCAGGGAGACAAATGTTTGATAATGATGGGATACACAGAGTTTCATCAGAGTCAAGTTCTACAGTGACGAGAAAGAACTAATTATACCTCACTCTTATCTATTTCCAGTTCCACCACACATAACACTGCTGAAGAATGGGACTGCAACTGAGAATGGCCATGTAGTCATCACCTGTGATGCAGATGGAGATCCTACACCAACCATCTTTTGGAGTAGGTTTGACAACGGAAGCAGTGTTCTGGAGGAAGAGAAGGTAAAATGGGTGATGTTGGTTTTTGAGATGGAAGGGACTTATCAATTCCTCTTTTCTTCAGTTCTTTCACCCAAAAACTTTGAGTTGTCAAAACAGAGGACCTAAAGCTCAAAACTGAACTGCTGGACCACCTGGGTAAAGAAAGAGTGACGGGAAAATTGCTGGGATTGAAGGCTGATAAATTCCCAGGGCCTGATAATCTACATCCAAGAGTACTTAAGGAAGTAGCTCTAGAAATAGTGGATACATTGGTGGTCATTTTCCGGGATTCTATAGACTCTAAAACAGTCCTTGCAGATTGGAGGGTGGCTAATGTCACTACAATATTCAAAAAGAGAGATAGAGAGAAAACAGGGAATTATAGATCAGTGAGCTTAACATCAGTAGTGGGGAAAATTCTCTAATCCGTTGTCAAGGATTTTATAGCAGAGCATTGAGAAAGCAGTGGCAGGATCATACAGCATCAGCGTGGAGTTAATAAGGGGAAATCATGCTTGACAAATATGTTGGAATTCTATGAAAATGTAACTAGTAGAGTTGACCAGGGAAAGCCAGTCGATGTAGTATATTTGGACTTTCATAAAGTGTTTGACAAAGTCCCACATAAGAGATTAATGTGCAAGATTAAAGTTCATGGGATTGGGAGAAGTGTATTGAGATGGGTAGAAAACTAGTTGGCTGAGAGGAAACAAAGAATAGGAATTAACTGGACCTTTTCAAATTGGCAGGCAGTAACTAGTGGGTTGCCACAGGGATCGGTGCTGGGACCCCAGCTATTCACAATATATATTAATGATTTGAATGAGGGAACAAAATGTAACATCTCCAAGTTTGCAGATGATACCAAGTTGTGTGGGAGGGTGAACTGTGACGCAGAGGCAGAGATCCTTCAGCATGATCTCGACAGGTTGGGTGGGTGGGCAAATCAATGGTAGATGCAGTATAATTTGGATAAATGTGAGGTTACTCACTTCAGAAAAACAAGAAGGCAGATTACTACCTGAATGGCTGTAAATTGGGAGAGGGGAGTGTGCAGCGGGACCTGGGTGTCCTTGTACACCAATTGCTGAAGGTAAGCATGCAGGTGCAGCAGGCGGTAAAGAAGGTAAATGGTACGTTGGCCTTCATTGTGAGAGGTTTCGAGTACAGGAGCAGGGATGTGTTGTTGCAGTTATACAGGGCCTTGGTGAGGCCACACCTGGAATAGTGTGTGCAGTTTTAGTCTCCTTTCCTGAGGAAGGATGCTCTTGTTCTCGAGGGAGTGCAGCAAATGTTTATCAGGCTGATTCCGGGGCTGGCAGGACTGACATATGAGAAGAGATTGACTAGGTTGGAATTGTTTTTGCTGAAGTTCAGACTAATGAGGAGGGATCTCATAGAGACTTATAAAATTCTAACAGGACTAGACGGTCTCAATGGTAGGTATATCCAGACTTCTTTTGACTTAATTTTGGTGGTTAGGCATTATGACTGCACAGTGTTGTTGCTAACTTTTGGGATGCTTGAGGGAATGGTATTGCATGTTCAGAGCAGGGGGTTAGAGGACTTTTATTTCCTCCCATATTATCACACACTTTGAGAGCATGTGGGACTTGAACCCAGATCAGAGATGAGTACACTTTCCCTGTGCTACAAGAGGGCCCTGGTGAGGTTAGGAGGTCTTGGTTGCCTGCCAACGAAAAGCCTGTTTCAGGAAGGGGAAGGCCATCATTATAGACTCTCTTGGGCTGCAGCATGAAATGGATCTCAGGTCCATACAGTAGTGAGGGGAAGCAGTGCACACGCAGAAGAGGAGGAGGAAGGCTGTCACTCAAAGGCCTGTACCCACTAAAGGTATTCAAAGAGCTCTTCCATCCCAACCTCAGCCATTAGCTATGGTTCACCAAGGAATTGGTCACTAAATTGTTAGATGAAAGATTATCAGCGTTGTGCAGGTGGTTTCCTGCTTGCACTGCTGGTCAAGCTTGGATGTGGGCCGCCAAGCACGCATTGAGCCCTATGTTTGTCTACAAGTGTTGAGATTTGAGTTGGACTCCAAATCCTACATGAAGCCTTGTGCCAGCCAAAGGATAGGAAGCTGTGCAGCAAGCCTGTCACGGCACCAAACATCTCAGTGTGCACACATACACCAGCTTTCTTCTCCATGCTATCACCTCAAAGTCCTCATCTGAGTCCTTTGAAGCAGAATTTGTCAGTGATCCTGGCCTCTAGTGAGTGGCATGCAAACTATTATTCTCACCCTGAGATCTGTGTAGCCCACGTTGGCACAGTGACTCGCTACATTCTAATCCCAATACTCTCTTTTACAGAGTCACAAAATTGTTGTGGTGCAGAAATAAGCCACTCGGCCCATTGTGTCTGCACTAGTTCTATTACCTCATGTCAATTTCCTGCCGTTTCCCTGCACACCATGTCAGGGAAAGATGTTGTGAAACTTGAAATGATTCAGAAAAGATTTACAGGGATGTTGCCGAGATTGGAGGGCTTGATGTTGAGGCTGGTTGGCTCGCCGAGCTGGTTTGTTGTTCCGCAGACATTTCGTTACCGTGCTTGGTAACGTCCTCAGTAGAGCCTCTGATGAAGTGTCGGTGTGTTTTCCTGCCTGGTTTTTAGATTCTGGTGTCCGTTGAGATGGATTGCCTCACTTCCGGGTTTCCTCCGTAGTGGAATGTATATGGGGTCGAGTTCAATGTGTTTATTAATAGCATGCTTCGTGGAGTGCCATGCTTCCAGGAATTCTCGTGCTTGTCTCTGCCTAGCCTGTCCCAGGATCTTGGTGTTGTCCCAGTTGAAGTCATGGTTCTCCTTGTCCATGTGGATTGAGATGAGTGAGTATTGGTCGTGTCTTTTTGTAGCCAGTTGGTGTTCATGTACCCCTGTTGTTAGTTTCCTTACTGTTTGTCCGATGTAGTGTTTCTCGCAGTCTCTGCAGGGGATCTTGTAGATGACATTGGTCCTGTCCATGGCAGGGAGTGGGTCTTTAGTTCGGGTGAGCACTTGTCGTAGGGTTGATGTGGGCTTGTGTGCCACTCTGATGCCCAGCGGTCATCGAAGTCTTGTGGTGAGTTCTGACGCATTCCTGATGTAGGGTAGTGTGATGAGTGCGTCGGGGCGTGTAGAATCTTTCTGATGCTGTTCCTGTAGGCATCTCCTGACCCAGTTCTTTGGATTATCCTTGAACACTTCGAAGAGGTATTCCTCCTCCTCTTGGCGTAGTATGAGGGTTTGAGCTATGGGGAGCTATGGGGAATAGACTGGGGCTACTTTCCCTGCAGAATCGGAAGCTGGGGCTTCTTTCCCTGGAGCATCAGAAGCTGAGGGGTGACCTTATAGAAGTTTATAAAATCATGAGGGGCATGGATAGGGTGGATTGCTAAGGTCTTTTCCCCAGGGTAGGGGAGTCCAAAACTAGAGGGCATAGGTTTAAGGTGAGAGGGACCTAAGGGGCAACGTTTTCATGCAGAGGGTGGTGCTTGTATGGAATGAACTGCCAGAGGAAGTGGTTGAGACTGGTACAATTACAACATTTAAAAGGCATCTGGATGAGTATATGAATAGGAAGGGTTTAGAGGGATATGGGCCAAATGGTAGCAAATGGAGCTAGATTGATTTAGGATATCTGATTGATTTGATTTATTGTCACGTGTACCTAAGTGCAGTGAAAAGCTTTTGTTTGCGAGCAGTATAGGCAGATCACAGTAAACAAGGATATACAGGTCATCGGGTGGAAAAAAAACATGGACAGAGTGAGCATACAAGTTACATTGCACAGGATGTGCACAAGACAGAATCAACATTAACAAGATCAACATTCTTTGAAGTTATAGAGTCCATTCATCAGTCTAATAATAGCAGGGAAGAAGCTATTCTTGACCTGCTAGTGCGTGTGTTCAAGCTTCTGTATCTTCTGCCTGATGGAAGAGGATCTGGTCGGCATGAACGAATTGGACCAAATGTTTGTTTCCATGCTGTACATCTTTGTGACTCTCTGACTATCTGCATTTCTGACCTCCAACAGAGGGTTGAGCAGCACCATTGGTCATAGTCACCCTATATCTCCCCTTCAGGTCCTGTTTCATACAGCTGACAAGACATGTGTCTAATCAAATGTGAAAATCCATGCCTGAAATTAGAAAGTGGAGGTGCAATTTGAAGTTAGAAGGCGTTACATTCGATTTTTGATGAAGTGCTGTTTTGTAATAGAGCATAGAAGGATGGAATGAACTCATCAGTTCTGGGCTGGCTCCTTAGGTCCATGCCCCTATTGTTCCCCCAGAGCCACATAATCTTTTTCCTTTCAATATTTCTCAGTCCCTTTCTGAGAGTTGCTATTGAATCTGCTTCCACCGCCTTTTCAAGCAGTTCATTCCTAGAGACAACAATCTCCTGCCCTTTTCTTTTGTGACCTCTACTTACTAACCTTCACTCCTTGGGACAGTTTCTGCTTGAGCATTCAATCAAACCTTTTTCATAAGTTTGAAGACTTTAATGAAACATCTCGCTTTTAAAGCCTCAGCTCAAAGGAGGACAAACCCAACTTTTCTATCATTGGGACCAATTCTAGTAAATCTCCTCTTCCCTACTCTGTAATGTTAATGTCCTTGAAAAGGCTTCTGTAGCTTAAACATTAATTGAAAGAACAAATGCATATATCTATTGTTTAAAAACAAGTCAAGGTCTAATTGCCTACCTGTCAGCAATTTATAATCATTGCTGCCTGCCTTGTGAATTTTATGTTAAAAAATGCTTGGAGCAAGAAATTTTCATTAAACGCAAGAGTATTTATTTATACAGGGCCTACAAACAATGTGCATGCATAATAGACAATGTTAGGCCTTAATCAGGCAAATATAATGAAAAACATAATACTTCAGGCAAGTCTTTATTTCATTACTTCAAGCCACTGACTCCAGCATTATCTCTTCCACAAACACACACGTGTCTTGTAAGTTAAATAGAAACAAGTCCACACAAATCTTTAATATCACTTAATATCAATTTTAGATTTGGATTTCTGACTGTATAATCCTCTTAATTACCAAAGCCACTTCACCTACTTCCACCCTTCTAACATTGCCCACATCTGTCCTGGCCTCAATTGTTGCTGTTGTATTAACTCATTTACTGTTGAAAGCCTCCCTATTCCTCCAGATGTGACTACTCTTGTGGCTAGTCTACGGTCTTCCACCCTCCCCTCCATAAACTACACCTCATCCAAAACAATGCTGTTCAGATCCTAATCTCAACAAGTCCTGGCCAGCCACTGCCCTTGCTCACTGATCCACATTAGCTCCTAGTCCCTCGATTTTAAAGTTCTTGGCTTCAAATTCCTCCATAGTTTCAACCTGTCCATTTCTGTCCCAGATCTTACAGGCTTCCAGCCTCAGAGATCTCATTGCTCCTGCAAAGTTGGCCTTTTGAGGATATTCGATAGTCATTGCATTCTCATTGATAGCTGCACTGTCACCTGACTATGCATTGAAATTTCATCATCCCTACGCTCAACATTCTTGCCTTTTTATTTCTTTCTTTTTTCTTTCAGACGTTGCTTAAAGATTATCCAATTGAGCAAGTGATTAATCATCTGTCTTAAATCTCAATTTTTGGTTGGGTATCAACTTGCCTGGTGACCTTCCTATAAGGCACTTTGGGTTGGTTATAATGCTGTAGAATGGAGAGATGGTGACTTGGCTCTAATGTTATTGGGCTATAAATCCCATAGGCCTAGCCTAATACTCTAGTGGCGTAGGTTTAAGACTCCCACCAAAGCAATTTGTGGAATTTAAGGTCAGGAAATAACCCTGCATTATAAAACTAGTCTCAGTAATAGTGACCATGAAGTCATCACTGCTTTTTGTTGTACAAATCTATCTGGCTCATCATAAGAGCAGCACAATGGCTCAGTGATTAGTATTGATGCCTCACAGCGCCAGGGACCCAAGTTTGATTTCACCCTCAGGCAACTGTATGTGTGGAGTTTGCACATTCTCCTTTTGTCTGCGTGGGTTTCCTCCCACAGTCCAAAGATGTGCAGATTAGAACATAGAACATAGAACAGTACAGGCCCTTCAGCCCACGATGTTGTGCTGAACTTTTACCCTAGACCTAAAGTCTATCTAACCTCCACCCCTACCTTATACTATCATCCATGTGCCTATCTAATAGGCGCTTAAAATCCCCTAATGAGACCGACTCCACTGCCTTCTCCAGCAATGCATTCCAAGCCCCGACCACTCTCTGAGTAAAGAACCTACCTCTGACATCTCCCCTTTATCTACTTCCACTCACTTTAAAACTATGCCCCCTCGTAACAGCTACCTCTACCCTAGGAAAATGTCTCTGGATGTCCACTCTATCCAAACCTCTGATCATTTTGTACACCAATTAGCTGGATTAGCCATGCTAAAGTATTCATATTGTGCAGGCTGGTGGATTAACCATTGGGAATGTAGGGAGGTGGGTTTGGGTACGGTGCTCTTCAGAGGATCAGTGTAAACTTGCTGGGCTGAATGATCTGCTTCCACATTGTGGGGATTCTATGATTCACTAATACACTTCAGGGAAATGAACACTGTCCTTATCCTGCCTTGCGTATGACTCCAGACCTGCAGCTATAGATTAACTCCCAACTGCCTTTTGAAAAGGCACTCAGTTCAAGATTTCTGAAGAAGGGTCCCGACCTGAAATGTCAGCTTTCCTGATCTTCTGATGCTGCCTGGCCTGCTGTGTTCCTCCAGCTCCACACTGTGTTATCTCAGTTCAAGGGCAATTAGGGTTAAGCAATAAATGCTGGTCCTGTCATTATAACCATATACAATGAAAGAGAAAAAAGTATAAATGCATTTTCTTCTTGTTGAATTGTCCACTGCCAGCCTTACACATAAAGACCCCCTACCAAGCAAAGCTGATCCCTCAGAAATCCTCATTGCTTTATGGAGAGAAGTGGAGAATATGAAAAGTAACTGGTGCGATAATTTCAAGAACACTGCAGCACACTACAAGGTGCAATTATCCTCTTGTCTGCTCACTCTTTAAGTGGGCGGGGGGATGCAATGCTATTTTCATACTTGTAAACAAGTGTGACTTCTGTAATGGTACTTTCAGCTAACTGTGGGAGGAAGCCAATTTAACATTGAGAAAGCACAGCAGGTAGCGAGGGTCGCTGCACTTTAAGAGAGATGCAGCAGCTTTGTTATGGAGATTTGGATTCGTTTTTCAGACATACAGTTCACTTTGATTTCTCAAAAATTGCAGCAACAGACCAGAGTACAATGATCCTCAGTCAAAAACTGCAGTGTCAACGTTTCACCTAATTTTTTTACCAACTCTCGGCCAAAATCTAAATCATCTTTACATTTCAAAAATCAATCTTCCACATTCAAGTCCAGTATTTGCTGCGATTACTGTAGAGTTTTACTCTCTCAAAAGTTAGTATTCCATTATTATGATAGTTGTAATAGTTTTTTTGTAACTTAAAAATAGTTGTTAATGATTGAAAATTAAATGAAGTCAACTGGATGTAATATAATCTAAGGGCTTGAATTAAAATGCAAAGTGCAGTAGACCATTTGTTTTTGTTCTGGAAATTAACCAGATCTATATTTTGCAATAATTTGTAATTATTGATATGCTTAAATATTCATAATGCTGAATTATTTTATTAATTCATCCTCTAGTTTTATTTTAATGCTTGTCTGCCACTGTCATTATGAATAACTACTATGATGGCCTGGTGTACTGATAGTCGTCAGAATCTTCAGCTGATGATTTGTCAATAACCCAATTATCTATTTGTTATTAACTAGATATTATCGTTAACTAGATTCTAGGTGGGAGGTTTGAAGTGCGCAGGCAGAAGGGGACATCCTCGTTGCACATTAAGAATATCAAGCCAAGTGACTCAGGAGCATATGATTGTGAAGCTGTGAGTCCAATTGGAGGAGACAAGAAGACCATGCATTTGGATATTCAGTGTAAGCTCGCCATTTTTTGGCAACGGACCCACATTTTCTTGTACTCTCCACCATCTCTGTATTAACGATAGACTTGAATCGTTGATTATTGCATTGCATAAGCTCTTGATTATTTTCCAACTATTCATACTCAGGGTGTGGCGGGTTCTGCAATTCTTTAGTTGTATTTGAAAATGTGGACATAAACCATCTTCTCGAACTCCAATTGCTTGAAGCCACTTTGACAAAGGCTCTCTTCCAGTACTGTTAGGTAGGGAGTAACGGCTTTTGACTCAGCAATTATTCACCAGAAGCTGAACGACACTAGACATTTTTTAAAAATATTCATTTATGAGATCCGGAAATTGCTCGTGGGTCAGCATTTACTGCTCATCCTTAATTACCTAGAGGGCATTTAAGAGTCAACCCCATTGCTGTGGGTCTAGAATCATACGTAGGCCAGACCAGCTAAGATTAGCAGATCATAAAATCATAAAGTTACACAGTACAGAAGAGGCCCTTTGGTCCACCCAGTCTGTACCACCAAAGCTACACTAAGTCTACACTAGTCCCTCTTTCCCACACTGAACTCATAGCCTTGAATGTTATCACACTTAAAGTGCTTATCCAAGTACTTTTTAAAAGTTGTGAGGTTTCCTGCCTCAACTAGCCTCCCAGGCAAGTGTTTTCCAGACTCCTCAACTCCCCTCTAAAACTCCTGTCTTTCATATTAAAATTATGCCCCCTTGTTATTGGCCCTTTGATAGCTGCATTCTATATACCCTGTCTGTGCCCATCATAATCTCACTAATCTCTATCTGGCCCCCCTCAACCGTCTCTGCTCCAAATAAAACAGCCTGAGCTTATCCAGACTCTGTGCATCACTGAAATGCTCCATCCCAGGCAACATCCTGGGGAATCTCCTCTGCACCCCCTCCACTGCAATCACATCCTTCCTATAGTGTGGTGACCAGAACTGCACACAGTGCTCCAACTGTGGCCTAACAAAAGTTCTGTACAGCTCCAACATAATTTTCCTACTCTTATAAACTCTGCTTTGACTGATGAAGGCAAACATCCTGTATGCCTATTCATCTATTCACCTGTTCTGCTACCTTCAGGGATCTGTGGACAAGCACCAAGATCTCCCTGTTCCTCTGAGCTTCCTAATGTCTTGCCATTTGTTGAATACTCCCTTGTATTTTCCGTCCTCCAAAGTGCATTGCTTCACATTTGACAGGAATAAATTCCATCTCCCACTGATTTGACCACCTGACCAATCCGTTTATGTCCTCCTGTAGCCTAACACCTTCCTACTCACTGTCAACCAGCTGGTTAATCTTTGTGTCATCTTCAAACTTACTGATCATCCCTGACCATTCCCATCCTCCGTTCCTTACATTCTCACCTGCATAATTTATGAATATCACAAATAACAAGTGAGTGAGGACTGATCCCTGTTGTACACCACTGGACACTGGTCCCCAGTTACACAAACAGCCTTCTACCCCCTACACCAGTCTCCTGTCACAAAGCTAATTTTTGATCCAATTTGCCACGTTATCCTGGATCCCATGTGCTTTTACCTTCATTATCAGTTTCCCATGTGGACCTTGTCAATAGCCTGACTGAAGTTCATATGAATGATAACAACTTCCCTGTCCTCATCTAAACACTTGGTCACCTTCTTGGAAAATTCCACTAGATTCGTTAGGCATGACCTCCAGCTAATAAAGCCACACTGATTATCCCTGAGTGAACCTTGCCCCTCTAAATGGAGATTAATTTTCTATTTCACTATTTTCTCCAATAGTTTCCCTACCAGTGATATCCTTCCTGAAAGAGTATTGGTGAACTAGATGGGTTTTCTGACAATTGACTATGGTTTAATGGTCATTGTTTGACTTTCTATTCACGAATTGTTTTAAAATTCAAACACCCCCATCTGTCCAGAGCATTATCTTCATCTCTTTGTTAATAGTCTACTGAAAATGTTCTCCCTAAATAAAAACTGTAACTACAAGAGCAGGTCAGAGGCTAGGAATACCTCAGGAAAGAATTCACCTCCTAACTCCCCAAGCCTATCCAATATCTATACAGTACAAGCCAGGAGTGTGGTAGAATGGTCCCAATTTGCCTGGATGAGTGCCAGTGTGGACATGAAGAGAATATTCCGTCATACTCTTGACTTATGCATTGTAGATGGTGGATAGGCATTCGAAAGTCCAGAGTGAATTACACGCTGCCGAGATTCCCGGTCTCTGACTGCTCTCAGAGTCCCACCTGGCAACTTCTGCAGTCAGTCCCTCCAACCTTGTAATATCTGAGACATGGGAGTCTGCTGTTGCTCAGCAAGCTTCCACATAGAGCAATATAATAATGACGAGATCCCCTGTTCTTTCATATGTGTATTTGAAACTCAAATTTGTTTGGCCTGAAATTCCCAGTCAATTGCATTGCTCTTGGTTTCACTCTGCCCCAGTACCAGCCTGGCATGTCACAGCTTTTAGTACAACCTTTTGCTCTAGATCTGAAAAATATTGCCCAAACATAGATCCTACCTGGAAAAACTGGGGTCTTCTGTTCATCAAAACATTTTGCAAGTCATGTGGAAAACTCCAGTAGTGAGATTTTTTTTTTCCTCAGTGCAAGGACACTGACAGATATGTTTTGAAATCTTGGCATGACTTTTATTTCTAAGTTGACTGGAAAATTTGACCACTATCCTCTGACCAGAGAATACTTTTGTATATTTTGTAAAGATTCATTTGCAGGCTCTTAAAGTCAGGTCATTGATAGAAGGTGATTTGCCACAATGATCTTAAAATAGCATATAGATGTAGACATTGTCATAGAAGTGTACAGCATGGAAACAGACCCTTTGGTGCAACCTGTACATGTTGACCAGGTATTCTGTATTAATCTAATCCCATTTGCCAGCATTTGGCCCATATCCTTCTAATCCCTTCCTATTTATATACCCATCCAGATACCTTTTAAATGTTGTTACTGTGCCAGCCTCCACCACTTCCTCTGGCAGCTCATTCCATCCACGCACCTCCGTCTGTGTGAAAAACTTGCCCCTGAGATCCCTTTTAAATCTTTCCCCTCTCATCTTAAACCGATGGCCTGTAGTTTTGGACTCTACCATTCTGAGAAAAAGACCTTGTCTCTGCATCCTATCCATGCCCCTCATGATTTTATAAACCTCTATAAGGTCACCCCTCAGCCTCCAATGCTGCAGGGAAAATAGCCCCAGTCTATCCAGCTTCTTCCTATAGCTCAAACCCTCCGACCCCAGCAACATCCCATTGTTCCACCGTCCTCACATTTCGATCACTTAATCTGAACCATCAACATCTTTTCTCCACCCAGCACCTGACACCCACCCTGCCCACAAACTATAGCATAAATTCTGTCCCCTCCACACTTCACTTCACCTCTGATGAAGAGTCATCTAGACTCGAAATGTTAGCTTGCCCTCTCTCCATGGAAGCTGTCTGACCTGTTGTGATCTCCAGCATTGGTTGTTTTCAGTACAGATTCCAGTATCTGCAGTAATTTTCTCCAACATCCTTGTAAATCTTTTCTAAACCCTTTCAAGTTTCTCAACATCATTCCTACAGCAGGGAGACCAGAATTGCACGCAGTATTCCAAAAGTGGCCTAACTAAAGTCCTGTACAGCCGCAACATGACCTCCCAACTTCTACACTCAATGCACTGACGAATAAACGCAAGCATATCAAACATCTTCTTCACTATTCTGGATGTCTTCTGACATAAAACCATGATCAGATATAGCACTCAAATTACACCAAGTTAGGAGATTTAAATGCAGCAAGGAATATTTCTTAAACCAAAAATGAATTTGTAATAATTAAATTGGACCAACTGCACTGAATCAACATATATGTTGACTTTGATGATATGCAAATGAGGTTTAAACCAGGAACCCAGTGAGAAATAGTATGCTTCAAAACGGGCAATATTTTTGCAGTTGCTGGCTTGCTTGCCAAGCTGGTGAGTTTGTTTGCAAACATTCTATCATCAGGGAAGAGGAGAACAACAACAGACTTCCCTTCCTGGACGTAATGGTCGAACATATGGCTAATAGTGAGCTCCAGACCAGCTTACACAGGAAGGCCACCCATACAGATCAGGGACTCAACTACAACAGCAATCATCCCAATGCCCACAAATGGAGCTGAATCAAAACACTGTTCAAGCGAGCTGCAACACACTCCTGCACCCCGGAGCTGCACAAAGCCGAGGAAGCACACCTGTCCAGCGTCTTTAGAAACGGCAGTTACCCAAAAAACGTAGTCTGTCAATACCTACACAACTGACCACAGGAAGGCACAACACATCCCAGCGACACTAGTCACCTTTCCATACATTAAGGACAGATCTGAAATGACCACCAGATTACTCCACCCCCTAGGAATCATGGTAGCCCAGAAACTGACAGCTACATTACGACAGTTACTGACGAGAATAAAGGATCCGACAACCACAACTGACAGAACCAGCGTTATTTACAAGATACCATGCAAAGATGGCCCAAAACATTACATGGGACAAACTGGAAGGAAACTAGTCATCAGGATCCATGAACAGCAACTAGCTACCAAGAGACATGACCAAGTATCACTCATTTCAATACACATGGGCAAAGAGGGACACCCCAATTCAACTGAGACAATATAGCCATCCCAGGACAAGCCAAGCAAGGATACGCACGAGAGTTCCTGAGGGCTTGGCACTCAAACCAGAACTGCATTAACAACATGTGGAGCTGGACCCCACATACTAACTGCTAAGAAACAAATCCGGAAGTGATGCCACCCACCCCAACAAACCAAGACACATAAATGACAAGTGGGACAGTACACTGATGCTTCACTGGAGGCGCATTGATGATGTTACCTGGCATGCTGATGCAACGTTTGTGAACAAATGTACCAGCTCAGCGAGCAAGTCAACAACTGCATCAACAACCCGAGTTATTAATCGCCTCAAATACGTTGGGCTATATTTTTGCCACAATTTACGCTGGGATCTTCAAACCTGCCAAGCACAATAATCACGATACAATGTCTCCTAACTGCTACCTCTTGACTGATCTCATTTCAGTCTTTGATATTCTCCGTACTCAGCCTGCTCAGAGATGTTACTACACAGCTCTGGTGATCGCTGACCTCCTCGTTCAAGAGGAGGTACACTACCACCGCACAATTTGAGCTCTCCCTTTTCATTCTCACATTGGCTTTCTTTCCTTTTAATCTTGGCCCTTCACTTGGTTTAGCAATTAAAACTGTGCTTTTTTCACAAAGTTGTGTTTCTGAACTGACCGTCAAACACCCATCGGGCAGTAAGGAACGAGGCAGAGTGTTCAGTTAAATTCTGTGCCAGAAACCCATGTCAGAAACAAGTCTCTTGAAACTGTGCAACTTCAGTCTGTGATCATGGATACAGAACTAGGGCCTGAAATTTCGGTAATGTGGGAGGCACTGGCCTAGTTGTATTATCGCTAGATTATTAATACACAGACCCAGGTAATGTTCTGGGGACCCAGGTTTGAATTTGGCCATGGCAGATGGCGGAATTTGAATTCAATAAAAAGTTGGAATTAAGTGTCTAATGATGACTAAGAAACCATTGTCAATTGTTGAAAAAACCAATCTAGTTCACTCATGCCCTTCAGGGAAGGAAACTGCCATCCTTACCTGGTCTGGCCTACATGTGACTCCAGACCCACAGCAATATGGATGACTCTTAACTGCCCTCTAGATAATTAACGATGGGCAATAAATGCTGGCCTAGCCAGTGATGCCCATAGCATGTGAATGGATTAAAAAAATACATTAATAAGATTATGACAAGATTTGTAGGGAGAACATCATTGATACTTTTACACTCTGATGCTATATTCAGTTTGTTCTTTTCAACGAAGTGGAGTTGGAGTTTACAGACTCCAAGCCAAAGTGTCTTGTGTTTATGTGATTTGCCTTCTGATTTCCCTCTACTCTCCCACTAATTTCTTTCTTTTTTTCTCCTAGACGCTCCCAAGTTTCTGTCAACTCAAGTGACCTATTACTCATGGGAAGGGAATTCAGTCAACATCAGCTGTGATGTCACAGCCAACCCTCAGGCTTCCATCCACTGGAAGAAAGAAGGTGTTGTCCTCTCTGATATCAATAAATCTGACGTCAGTATTTACAAGAAAGGCACCAAGATCCTTCTGGAGGTGGGTTAGAGGTTGTGTAAGGGCTCAGGTTGGAAAAAAATATGGACCAGGTCTGAGCAGGAGAAACTCATTGACAACTTAGATTCTCTTTGCTCTTCCATGAACATTCTCCTGTTCAGCATCGGCCCTAAGCTAGGGAGTGCCTTCCTTAACTCTCTTCTCTCTTCCACCTCTCAGTCCTACTTTGAAACACTGTTCAAAACCTATTACAACATCCTAATGTCTGCTTATGTTTACAGAATCACAGATTTGCTATGGTACAGCAAGTGGTCATTCAGCCCATTGCACTGGTTCTATAACCCAGTGTCAATTTCCTGCCTTTTCCCCATATTCCTGCTCACCACATTGCTTGGAATAAAACTTTATTCTGATGCAGTTCTTCCGGAGCACTTTCAGTTGTTTTATTAAGTTTCAGGCGCTATACATATGTACTTTGTTATTGACAGATAGTCTTTTGACATTTTTTCCTCGATTATAGTTCTTGGCAGTGAAACAAGTGAGATTCAGACATACTTTTCAAAACCTACTTTCTTTAAACTACATATCTCTTAGCCCTTGCTTTCCTTTTTGTGATGACGAGGCTGATGGGAGCAGGGACCAACCAATTAATTTTGGCATGTGTCATGATCACTAGCGTAATGTGCTAGGAATCAAATCTCACTTTCCTGGAGCTGCCACAAAAATTTAGATTTTTATAAGAGTAAGCAGAACTCCTCAATTTACCTCTTTCGAACCCAGATTGACAAAACAAAAACAGAGACTGGGTTTCTGTACATAATAAGAATTGCTATTTATTAGAAATAAATAGATTCTTACAACAATTTTGTTACGGACTGTCTTTAACTCTATTCGGGAACACTCTACCCCCATATAAGACATCTTTCTACACAATTTCACAAGTAGACACAAAAATACATGGATGCTTTCGGAAGAGGAAAAGGCTGGGAAGGCAGTTTAATAGTCCCTGTCCACAGATAATCCTTTTGGCTTGTTAGCATCTGCAACTCCTCGAACTTCCTTATCCTGGTACTTTCATTTGTTTGTATGAGGCACAGAATGACTGGTTCACAGATTATAAAGTCTCTGATTTATTGGTTAAGCGCCACAGTTCACACCAACTAATGAAGGTAAACCAATTGGCTTTCTTCAGGCTTAAGGTTTTTTTTTAACTAGAGAAAAGGACAGCTCCTTCCTTTTTGGAGGTCATTTGAACCAAATATATAGACACAAACTAGTTGGTTTCTTGGGAGCCAATCACATAGCTGTTAGCAGAAGACCTTTCCCAGAGGCAACTTGTCAACACTTTAGAGACCAAGTGACTACTTCCTGTTGCCGAAACTCTCTTCACACGTACATCTTGGTTGCAGCTCATGCGTAGTAACCTTCCCCACTGTTTGAACAAATAGCAGAGTAAACAACACTTACAATGAGCATCAAGAAACTTGCCTTTAAAAAGTGCAGGAATGCATTCCGAATACATGATTTTTGCAACAATCTTTTTCACATTTCAGTCCACAATTAAAAATACAAAACAAAAACAACCTTTACACATGCACTTACCCACACTTCACTCAATCCAGTCTACTGTATTCGCTGCCCACAATATGGTCTCCTATACACTGGGGAAACAAAGTGCAGACTGGTGACTGCTTTGCAGAACACCCACGTTCTGTCTACAAAAAAGACCCTGAGCTCCTGTTGCCACCATGATGTTCCCTAGCCAATATTGCTGTCTCAAGCTTGCTGCAGTGTTCCAGTGAAGGTCAACACAATCTGGAAGAGCAACAACTTATTTTCCACTTGGGAGCTCAGTAGCCTTCTGGATTCAATATTGAGTTCAACAATTTTAGGCCTTCAGGCATATTCTCCCATGTCCTTACCCCAAACCCCACATACCAGGCCCTGTTATCACATGGGCTGCTAGCACACACAGCCCATTGTCAGTTACTCATAGCATCCATTGGTAGCTATTCATTCCCCAGATTGGCATTTACCTAGTCCTTTGTCTATCCAACCATTCTTGTCTGTATTTGGGCGCTATCTGCACCTATCATTTACACCTCCCCCACCCCAAATTCTGCACAAATATCAACCTTTTCCAAGCTAGCATCAGTTCTGAAGAAGGGTCACTGGACCTGAAATGTCAACTCTGATTTCGCTCCACAGATGCTACCAGACATGCTGAGTTTTTCCAGCAACTTCTGCTTCTGTTTCTGAACATCCGCAGTTCTTTCAACTTTTTACCTTTACATATGTGGTGCCTTGCCTCCCTTTTGGGTATTCCAGGCTTCTCATGGGCAGTTCTTTAGATTTGTTAAGCTGTATGAGTAACAGGTTGAGGCTCCCCAGCAGTAATTCATACTCAGAAAATCTGCTCCTGACCACAGAACCTAGAGAGATAAATGTAGGAAGTTGTGTTCATATTAAGAGTTTCATTGGCTGCCATGTGTGTACATTGGGAATTGTGAGTGGGATCCACACTGTTTTACATCTATTACATATTTGGATTGGAAATCACGGGCTTCTCGTGATTGTGTTTTGCAACGAGTGCTCAGGAGGCTGAAACAGTCTGCTCAGAGCATGTGATGGTAAAGTTCTCCCTCAGAGCTTTTATAGATATACTTTATAAGTTGTCTCTGAGATTATCATCGAAAATATTATTAATTCTCTGCTTTTTCATGGTCATGGCTGTAAATGGTTTTATTTCTCTCAGAACTATATTCCTTTATAATAACTAACAGTGAAAGATTGAATAACTCAGTCTTGTGGCTCAGAACGGTTAGGGCTAGGTTAGGTTAGGTGAGAATTTTGTCCATTGTACCTCTGCTAGTTTTTTTTTATGAAATAGTGATTTGCACTAACCCTGCTCTTTCCCCTTAGCTCTACAAACTTTTCTGCTTTTCAAGTATTTATTCAATTCTCTTTGAAATATGTTCTTGACTCTGCTTTTGCCACTACCTGTTCTGTAGTGATTGTAATGAAGTCAGGGAGATGGACGTTATAGAGTATGAGTACCCTAATTAGGGCTGTTAACCGAGTCCAATCAGAGAGCCCTGGCTGACAGGAGTGTCAAAGATACTGTTCACTGAGAGAGCTGGATCAGTGTCAAGGACTTTCTAAGTGCTAATAAGGGCTAACTTGGCGACTCAATACTGGCTTCTGTGAAGTTATTTCATGTTCAACCATTATATTCCAGATTATATGAATTCATTGTATCTCAGATATGTTCTTCATTTGACAGTTTTTTTTAGAACAGAAAAGCACAATAAAAGGCACTTTGGCCCACTATACCCGTGCCAACAATGATGCCATTCTAAACATAGAATAAATCCCATTTGGCTGCACATCGTGGTCTACCTGGTCATGTGTCTTTTGTCAGTGACCTTTCATTATCAATCCAACTGCCAATGGAAATGAGACAAAAAAAAACTATAGATGCTGGAATTCAAGGTAGATAAACAGGAGGTTGAAGAACACAGCAGGCCAGGCAGCATCTGGAGGAAAGGAGCAGTCAATGGAAGGGTAATACCCGAAACATTGACTGCTTCTTTCCTCCAGATGCTGCCTGGCCTCCTAAGTTCTTCCAGCCTCCTGTTTATCTGCCAATGGAAATTACTTTCCTTATTTGTTCATTTATTGATAGTGTCAGCCTTGACTCAGTTGATAATCTATTTGCTTTTTCCATCACAAGGCTCTGGATTCAAGTCCCACTCCAGAGATGTGAACATAAAAATCACAGCTGACTTTCCAGTTCGGTACTGAGGGAACACTGCAATATCTGAGTTGCCATTTTCCCAAAGCCCTCTTCAACTGAGGCCCAAACTGGTTGGACATAAAAGACCCTATTGGAAATGTTTTGAAGGAGAGCAGAGGGTTTACCCCTGTGTCTTGCTCAATATTTCTCTCAACCAAAATTGCAAAATGCAGAGTGTTCAGCCATTACCATGTTCACGACTGTGGGAGCTCAGTGTGCAAATTAGCTGAAGTTCCCTATATTGCAAAAGTGCCTAAACTTCAAAAAGTATTTAATTAGCTGTAAAAACTTTGAGGTGTCGGCACTGTAGAAATGCCAGTCTTTTTATTTAGTGTTAAAACTTTCATATTATGAGACATTTATTAAACCTCTACTCCAAGAAGAATCCTTCGAGCTTCTCTTGTCCTATCATAAATAAAGTGTAGACCAAAAGCTATGTCTTTAGGTCCAGATCCTGCTTTCTTCCTTTCTTAGTTTTGATCCACTTATCTTGGAACTCTCAGTAACTATATTAGGAACAACCACTTCCCATTATCTAGCATTTTTGACCTCACTATATTCAAGGTTCTCAAACTCTAACTTTTTCCAATGACACATCAGTCCACTCTACCACACTCTAGACATTAACATTTTCTTTGTTATTCGGCTAATTTCAGCATTCTGCAGTGAACTTGTGTGTATAAATGGTGTTGGCAGATGGAGTTTAATTTAGGTAAATGTGACGTGTTGCATTGTGGCAGTCAAACCAGGGCAGGACTTACACAGTCAGTGGTATAATGGTCGGGCCCGGGTAAGTGTTATAGAACAAAGAGATCTAGGTCACAGGTTCATAGTTCCTTGAAAGCGTAGTCACAGGTAGACAGGACTGTGAAGAAGACTTTTGGCATGCTTGCATTCATCTGTCAGAGCACTGAGAAAATGAGTTGGGACATCTTATTGCAGCTGTACAAGACATTGAAAAGACCACTTTTGAAGTATTATGTACAGCTCAGGTCAACCTACTATAGAAAGGATATGATTAAAGTAGAAAGAGTGCGGGAAAGATTCATTAGGGTACTACCTGGACTGGGAGGTTTGAGTTATAAGGAGAAATTGGAGAGGCTGGGACCTTTTTCCCTGGAGCATAGCAAACTGAGGGCTGACCTTATAGAGGTCTATTAAATCCTGAGAGGTACAGATAAGGTAAATAGCCAACAGCTTTTCCCCATTGTAGGGGAGTCTAAAACTAGAAGGCATAGGTTTAAGGTGAGAGGAGAGAGCTGCAAAAGTGTTCAGAGGGGCAATTTTTTCACATGGAGGGTGGTGAGTGTCTGGACCAGGCTACCAGAAGTAGAGGTGGAGGTGAGTACAATTTTGTCATTTAAGAAACATTTGGAATATTTCTTGTTGAGGTACATGGATGGGACAGGGATGGAGTGATATGGACCAAACGCAGGCAAATGGGACTAGATTAATTGTGAAAACTGGGCGGCATGGACAAGTTGGGTCAAAGGGCCTGTTTCCATCCTATAAACCTCTATGACTCTGTAAGGGAGTGCCATCTTGGTAACTGCATCTGTGGTGTTTGTGAAGACCTCCCTCAAAGACCAAATAGCTAACATTGAAGTCTATTTTACACGGTGAAGAACTAAGAAGGTAAACTTTATATAGCACAGCTCAGAGGAACACTGCCCTCCTCTTGATTAGAAATATTTGCTGAATTACACAGAATTTTAAACCACAAGAATAGGCTATTCCACTTGCTTGTTCAGTGTTTCTGCTTATGCACCTTGTAGTGTCACATTATTTTATTTCAATTCGTCCTATTGGCATAACTTTCTATTCTTTTCTCCCCGACATCCTTATCTAGCATTCCGTTAAATGCATCTCTGTTAATTGCCTTAACTGAAATATCTTCATAGAAGCTGATATTCCATCACCAAGTTACCGTTTACTTACACATGGAGAGTCCTTGACACTGATCCAGCTCCCTCAGAGCCAGCTCTCAGAGTGAACAAAACCTCTGACGCTCCTGTTTATATCTGTCAGCCAGAGCTTACTGATTGGACCAGATTAACAGCCCCAGTCAGGGAACTCATATTCTAAGAGATCCACTACATCAACTATTCTGAGCATTTCTATGGGAAAATTAGCCTGGACATGACATCTAGGGTCAAACCTAATGGTGCACTTGTGTGAGGATTCTCAATGCCATTTCTAATCGCAGCCAGAGTGTCTTTCAGTCTGTGAGGGGAAGGTGAGGCACTGAAACAAACAAAGAATACAGGAGGGCCGCTTATTAAAAGTGCTTCCACTCTCAAATGAATTGAAAATGAATAAATCAACAGTTCTCAGAAAATTTGACTCTTTTCCAAGCAGGTGTAATGTATTAGGCATGAATAGGCTGTTTGATCTCCACCTGTCAGAGCAGTCCATATTATTGCAGTTCTTCTCTGAGATTAATAGCCAGGTTGGTGAAAAGGCAACATTCAGTCTTGCTCTAAATAAAAACAGAAAATGCTAGCAATACTCTGCAGGTCTGATAACATCGGTGGAGACAGAAAGAGGGTCACCACTTCAGGACTATGGATTTTTGTCAGAATTGCTTTTCCCCATTTCTTGTCAACTGGAAGCTTTCAATTTTTCAGTTTCTCTCTCCACAGATGCTGAGTCTCTCTCGCCTGTTTTGATTTCAGTTTTCCATGATCCATAGAATTTTGCTTTTGTTTCAATTTTGCTTTTACTGCTGTGCTATAAACACCATTTAAATATTTCCCAGCGTTTTGAAGCAGGAATGTGTAAATTGACTTAATTATGGTAATCACAGCCCACTGTGGAAATTGCTGCAAATGGTTATTATCAACTCACATATAATAGAGACACTGAATGATCCTGTACTGTCATTCCCCTACACCAGCTCAGTTCTGGTGCAGAGAAAGCAAGAGAAAGCAAGAGAAGGCCTTTCTTTTATATAGGGTATTTTTTCCACACCCTTAGGATTCCACAAGAGAAAGATCACAGTCATTTTCCTTGGTACTCAACTGTTTCACAAAAATGTCAAAATATAGAGTCATAACCACTTGAGACTGAGATAAAGATAAGTTTCATCACTGAAAGCATTGTTACTTTTTGGAATATTCTACCTAGAGAACTGTTGATGATCAGTTGATTTTGTTTTTGTTGTCACGTGTACTGAAATACAGTGAAAAGCTTTGTTTACGAGCGGAGCAGGCAGATCACAGCAAGCAAAGGATGTACAGATCAAAAAGACTTAGAAGTGTACAGGTTACATTATTTGAGGCTAAAGTCCATTCAACAATCTGATAACAGTCAGGAAGAAGCTGTTCCTGAACCTGCTGATGCATGTGTTTAGGTTTCTGTATTTTCTGCCTGACGGAGGAGGATGTAGGAGACCATTACCAGGGTGTGATGGGTCTTTGATGATGTTGGGTGCCTTTCTGCAGCAGCGAGCTGTATAAATAGAGTCATAGATGGAAAGTTGGCTTCTGTGATGGTCTGGGCTGTGCACACCACCTTCTGTAGTTTCTTACGTTCCTGGGCAGAGCAGTTGCCATACCAGGCTGTTATGAACCCGGACAGTATGCTTTCAATGGTGCATCTGTAGAGGTTGGCATGGGATGTAGTGGACATGCAAACTTTCCTGATCTGCCTGAGGAAGAAGAGGCATTGTTGTGCCTTCTTGACTGTCGTATTTACGTGGGAAATTCAGGACAGGTTTTAGGTTATCATCACTCCGAGGAACATGATGCTGTTCACTCTCTCAACCTCAGCTCCGTTGATATAGATGGGGACGTGCTCTCCTCCGTTCTTTCTGAAGACAACGATCTGTTTTTTAGTTTCGATGACATTGAGAGACAGATTGTTTTCATTGCACCACGTCACTGAGCCCCCAATCTCCCTTCTGTATTTTGGCTCGTCGTTGTTAGATATCCGTCCCACTATGGTGGTGTCATCAGCGAACTTGTCGACGGCATTCATTTGGAATTTAGTAACACAGTTGAAGGTGTACAGGGAGTACAGTAGGGGCTGAGGATGTATCCTTGGAGGGCTCCAGTGTTGAGTATTATTGTGGAGGACGTGCAGTTACCTATCTTCACTGATTGTGGCCTGTGGGTCAGAAAGCTGTGGATCCAGTTGCAGAGGGCAGAGCCAAGACCAAGGCCATGCAGTTTTGAGATCAGTCTGGAGGGGATAATGGTGTTGAAGGTGGAGCTGTAGACAATGAGCAGGAGTCTGACGTCGGTGTCTTTGTTGTCCAGATGTTCCAGGGATGAGTATAGGGCTAGGGATATGGCATCCTCTGTGGACCTGTTATGTCGCTGGGCAAAATTTAGGGGATCGAGGCAGGTTGGGAGACTGGAATTGATGTGGGCCTTGATCAGACTCCCAAAGCACTTCCTGATTATTGAAGTCAGATCTATTGGGCTGTAGTCATTAGACACATTGCATGTGTTTTCTTGGGTATGGAGATGATGGCGATCTTCTTGAAGCCGGTGGGGACTTCAGCTTGTAGGAGGGAGAGGTTGAAGATGTCGGTGAGTACCTCCGCCAGTTGGTCCACACAGGATCTGAGTGCTCGGCCGGGGACACCATCCAGGCCCATCACTTTCCTTGGGTTGACTCCCAGGGAGACCGATCTGATGTCTGAAGCGGTGAGAGCGAACTTAGCATAGAAAGCATTGAGTGTGTCAGGGAGGGATGTGTCATTGTCCGTTATCTTATACTGTTTCATTTTGTATCCCATAATGTTGTTTAGGCCTTGCCATAGATGGCGGGAGTCTGTGTGGTATGTCTGTGCCTCTAACTTGGTCCGGTACTGCCTCGTGGCCTCCCTGATGGCTTTGTGGAGGTCATATCTGAATTTTCTGAATTGGTCTGGGCCACCAGACTTGAATGTTGCACTTCTGGTCTTCAGTAAGGAGTGGGTTTTCTGATTCATCCAAGGTTTACGGTTGGGGAACACTTGGATTGAATTGTTTGGTACACAGTCCTTCACGCATTTGCTAATGAAGTCGGTGACGGTGGAAGCGTACTTGTAAGTCTGTTCAAGAGAGAAGTCAGTAGATTTTCAGATACTAAGCAAGTCGGTCATAGAGCCAAAGAGGTCTATAGCACATTCACTGGGTCAAAAACAAGCACCTAACTATTCTAATCCCATTTTCCAGCACTTAGCCATAATCTTGTATACCTTGGCATCATAAGTGAACATTGAAATGCTTCTTTAGTGTTATGAGAGTTTCTGCCACTGACATCCTCACAAGCAATCAGTTCCAGATTCCCAACAACTTCTGAGTAAAAAAAAATGTTTTCCTCATGTACCCTTCTCGACCTCCTGTTCCTTACCTTAAATCTGTGCCCCCTGGTCATCGATTCCCTCCATCAAGGGAAAGAGTTCCTTCCTATCCACCCTATCTTTGCTCCTCATAATTGTTTGCATCTCAATCCATCTCCTCTCAATCTCCTCTGCTCTAAGGAAAACATCTCCAGTCTGTCCAAACTGTCTTCTTTACTAAAACTCTCCAGCCAGGCAACATCCTCGTACATCTCCTCTGCACCCTCCAGTGCTGTCACATCCCTCCTATAATTTGGATTCCAGAACTGCACACAATGCTGTTGTTGCAGCCCTACCCAATATTTTACGCTGAATTGAGGGACTGGGGAACAGAAGGTGAAGGTGCAGCTGAAGTAGAAGAACAGTCACAATTGTACAAAATAATGGAGCTGGAAAACAGTAATAGGTGTAGCAGTTTGTGGGCCAGGAGCATGGACTTTTCATGAATCCTGCTGAAAACACTGTCACTGGTTTTCCATGTATTGAATTCATAGATCATAGAAACTGTACAGTGTAGAAACAAGCCCTTCAACCCAATCATCAGAACATCCCACCCAGATCCATTCCCCCTAATCTACACATCCCTGAACACTACAGGCAATTTAGCATGGCTAATCCACCTAGCCTGCACATCTTTGGACTGTGGGAGGAAACTGGAGCACTTGGAGGAAACCCACGCAGACACAGCGAGGCAATGGCCTAGTTGTATTATCGCTGGACTGTTAATCCAGGGACCCAGATAATGTTCTGGGGACCTGGGTTCGAATCCTGCCATGGCAGATGGTGAAATTTGAATTCAATAAACATCTGGAATTAAGAATCTAATGATGACCATGAATCCATTGTCAGTTGTCGGAAAAACCCATCTGGTTTACTAATGTCCTTTAGGGAAGGAAACCGTCACCCTTACCTGGTCTGGCCTACATGTGACTCCAGACCTATAGCTATTAGGGATGGGCAATAAATGCTGCCTAGCGAGCGACGGCCTCATCCCGTGAATGAATAAAGAAAAAAAAAGACACAGCAAGAATATGCAAACTCCACACAGACAGTCATCCGAGGGTGGAATTGAACCTGGGTTTGTGACGTGCCACCATGCCACCCTAATTGAATGAGTACAGTGTGAAGTTTGTAAGTCACCACTTGCAGTGCCATTTTAGGTACAATGGTACCTCGGTACAGCTTGTAACAATCTTACCAACACAAGACTGTCCCACAATAGGATTTACAGTCATCAGAGGAACACAGGATTGTCTATTTACTTGCCATAGAAAACTGAAGTAAAACAATATAGACATACTTAAGGGAAACTAGATATGTGCATGATGAGGAAGGATTAGAAGGATAGTTTGATTAAGAGACAAATAGTATAGATCAGATGGGTTGAATGGTCTGTTTCTGTGCTGTAGAATTCTATGTATTACTATTTCAGTACTTCACTGACAAGACAATCTAAAGACAGGGATCATAATTATAAGATAGTCATTAAGAAATTCAGGAGGATTTTTGTTTTTTAACGGAGAACAGTTGGATGGGTGATCTTATTAAAACTGACAAGACCCCGAGTGTGAAAAAAAAAACTTTTTTCAAAAAGAGAGAGAAACATAAAGCAGATAACCACAGCCATTTAGCTTAAGCTAAATCATTGGAAAAATGTTAGAATCCATTATAAAGGATGTAATAGCAAAAACTCTGAGTTAGACTGAATTTTGATCACTAAAGGAGTCGGACATTGTGGGTGCAGTCAGGCAGATAGAACAGCCATAGCCAGATCAATCATAAATTCTTGTGAAGCCAAATGGCCAAATGCATTAGATAGCCAAATGGTCCAGTCCTGCTCCTAAGCCCTTTGAAAGTGGAATTTTCTATTATAAGGAGTAGCTGAGGTGAGAACCAAGGAACCATTGAAGGAAGAAACTAAGTAAATAACTAGTAGTACTATCGCTGGACTATTAATCCAGAGATCCAGATAATGTTCCAAGGACCCAGGTTCAAATTCTGCCATGGAAGATGGTGGAATTTGACTTCAATAAAAATTTGGAATTAAGGGTCTAAGGATAGCCATGAATCCATTGCCATTGTCAGGAAAAACCCACCTGATTCACGAATGACCCTTAGGGAAAGAAACTGCTATCCTTACCTGGTTTGACCTACTTGTGACTACAGACTCACAGCAATGTGGTTGACTCTTAAGTACGCTCTGGGCAATTGTAGATGAACAATAAGTGCTGACCTAGACAGAGATGCCTACATCCAATGAATAAAAATACATAAATACAGGAGATAGGAAGAGATGATATGGTGATAGAAGGTAATGGCTGATTGTAGACCAGTTGGTGTTTCTCTGCTCTATGTTCCAATGATCAGTCTGGATTTTGAGTGAAGCCTTTTTCGTTTTAAATGTAATTTAGAGGAAGTGCAACTTATGCTTCAGAGCTGGAACTTTGTGTTCTTTTTAATTGCACCTTCACTTTCCTAATGACATTGATGTCAATTTGTATTTTCAACTCAAACTAAGAAATGAAATCAAAATATTATGAGGGAAGCAGCTTTGACATTGTTTTAATAATGAAATGGCTATCCTGTTAATCTTATTAGAGCAGTATAATGAAACTAAATGCCATTCCATCGTTCAGCTGTTGTTCCTTCAATTAAATTCAGGGCATAAGGGGGAGGTGATGGTGCAGTGGTATTATCGCTGGACTGTTAATCCAGAGACCCAACAACATTCTGGGGACCTGGTTCAAATCCTGCCATGGCAGATAGTGGAATTTGAATTCAATAAATATCTGGAATTAAGCATCTAATGATGACCGTGAATCCATTGTCAGCAGGGGAAAAGCCCATCTGGTTCACTAATGTCCTTGAGGGATGGAA